GCGATGACTCTGTGGTACGTCTCCTCTTGTTCCTGCAATCTGGTGTTTAAATGTTAACGGATTTAACCAGTAGTTTATTATGAACATACATCAATAATGAAAAAAGTTGATAGCTTAACAAATCCCGTAGGATGACCAGAGTGGGGAAAATAAAGTGTTAACATTACATAAAAAGGGAAAATTTTTATATGAAGTGAAGCACCATATATTTTACTGGAACACATGCTGCTCAGCACACCAGTACCTAACGGAGAGAGGTGGCGATCGCCCTGTTTGAGTTAGTTTGGCTTTCTTTGGCAAAAGGCTGTGTCGCATAATATAAATGGGATGGAGTGTGGTCCAATCACTTCTTTAAAAATGCTTTAATGTGAGGGGAAAATGATAGTGAGTAGGAAGAGCATTTCAAGGTCTAGATGCCCAAAGGGCGAAAACGTTTTGCTAGCAATCAAGTCGAATGCGATGTGTAGTCTGTTGGTGCTGGTATTGTGGCTGACTTGCGACCGATTCCGACAGACGTGCTTAGGGTTAGATATTGTTTGGTACACTACAGTAAGGCCCCCTCGCATTCGCCAATATTCGCCGCTGTACATTCCTAGGACATGCAGTCTGCGTTACTAAGAGGGTTGAAACAACCCTCTTACTAATTTTTTACCTAGCGTTGTGGAGCTGCAACGCGACAGCATCCCGTTTGCGCCAAGTTTGCCAGACCTGAGTCGCGCGCTTCACGTGGGGCTTCACGTAGGCGTTCATCATTCGTGGAAAGATTGATTTTTCGAACTTCCCGAACGACCTACTTAGGAGGCCAAGGTGCTGGTTGGCTCTTCCCGATACCTGTTTGGCCTGTTACAATCAACCAAGTTTGTTCTTAACCATTACTCTGAGGTCACTTTCCTGCGTAGCATGTTGCAGCTGCTGCTTTCCTAGCCAATATTCTTGAGTACACTGATAATATGTGCTAAGAAGTTTGCATTTCGCCAACTTAAACGGGATCCAGGTCTCGGAGGACCATGTGTAGGCTCTGTCGAAATCCCTTTGTAGTGTCGCGTTGTCGCCCACTGTCTTGATCCCATGCCAGATCTTGACGTCGTCTGCAAATAACAAGAGGTATGACTGTAACACCCTAGCAAGATCGTCAATGAATACTGGGGATAAATGTGATCCCAGCACCGATCCTTGGGGCAGCCTCCACTGGAATTCAATTAAGTCGCAGTTGGATCTGTGAACTCGCACATTCAGATTAAGGTGAATGAGAAAGTTGCTTATACAACCCAGCGCAGGGTCACTGTTTCCATAGCTTCGAAGTTTGTGAAGTAGAATTCGGTGGTCCAGGCGGTGGTATGCTATAGAGAATTCAATTGACTTAGTCCAGCCTGCTTGGTTTAGTAACAAGTTTGTAGTGTAGGACCAATTTCGGCGGAATCCATGTTGATGTGACAATATACTTTGCTCTCGAGGTATCCCATGAGCACCTCTGCGATTACACCTTCCATAACTTTGAAACCCAGCGTTTTCAATGTGCGTGGATGCTCATACAGTAGTTAGAGGGCTCCGTACGATCCCCACTCATGAAAATAGGTGTAACTATTCACTGTTTCAACATGGTGGGGATCTGTATTTCCTCAAGGCATCGTTGGAAGAGCCTGGCCAACGGTTCAACAAGGCTCATTGCAACTGTGTTAGTGCATTTGGTATTGTCGACACCAGGAGAGCAGTGCACGCAAAAGGACAGTATTCGTAGCATCACACTTGCAGAAAGGAAGAATAGGTGGCTTAATCCTGGGGACAGACTAAACTGTGTCATGAACGAGTGAAGTGACGATCCACTTTGGAAAGTGTGGGTAAAATCTTTCCGGAGCGCGTTTGCCGCATCTTGTGGGTGCGCGCCAAGCTACCTACTGCACTTCGAACTGGGAATCCGCGTTGCACTCTGCGGAGGTTGTTCACGACAGTGGCGCCGCTTCTCACGCAGTTAGCACTATCTGGACGACATCTCAAACCAACGTGCAATGTTAGGTAATAAAAGATAGATTGGCTATAGCAGAAACTATATCTGCATATCACTAATGGCGGATGCGCTCAAAAACATCTCATGGGTAAGTTATTTCGCTCACAACTGAAAGGGGCACTAGAGAAATTTGACGTGTAACCTGCCCATAATTAGAAGAGCATCTGAGGGGTGTACAGGAGGAGCACTGAACAATTAACAATGAATTTATACTGGTTAAGAAGCGCTGCTTTACAAGTCCCGTTGGATAGTTGGTTTGGATATGGTAATAATAATACTAATAGTAAAATCTTAGTACTTTAAATATGAAAATAAGGACTTATCGTTTGCTCCTCCATATTCTGCAATCAGCTTAAATTCACAGCACCCACAGTTAACATCCATAGTAAACTCCAGGTGCAGAATGAAGACGTAGCGCTAAGTGACAAAGTGTAAGTGGCTGAGTGCATCATCCAACCGTCTTTTAAATACTGTTATTGTCGGTGCAGAGACGACCGATTATGGGAAAGCATTCCACGGGTGGCAGACAAGAATGTAAAAGAAATTTCTGCGGCACTCCAGGCGACTATACTGTTCTGCGAATTACACTGGGGGGTTCCCTCAGTGTTGTATTGGTGCTGAGTCGCAGTAAAGGACGGCAAACATGATGTGGGTCTCGCAGAATCAAGTATGCCATAATCAGATCGCCTCCTAGTATGCGATAGCTTCCACTGAATACACCCAATCGTTGCAGTCTCTCCTCGTATGGAAGATTACACATTCCAATTACGTTCTTAGATGAACAATGAACAATGAACAATGATTTATCACGGGATAAAAGCAGGTGCTTGACACGTCCCGTAGGATGGTTGAGGTGAATATGATAAAATCAAAATATGTCTGGGTCATCTATCGAACGTCTGCCGAGATGAATAGTTTGATAAGCAACATCAGTGTAAAATTAAAATAAATTATCGGGCGGAAACATGCAGAAAGACACTGGGGTGCAGTGATCATTGAGGTAAAGAGTGAGAAAAGTAAAATATGGTGGCTCACTTAGGTCCATTTGATACATAAAGCCTGTAGAAATTCATCCTTGGCGTAATCCACAGTAGGGGAATTTAGGTAACAAAATGTTGGGAGCTAAGAGCATCTAATCGTTTTTTGAAAACATCCAAGGTAGGAGTGGATACAACTGAGTCAGGAAGTGCGTTCCAAAATATTTGCAAACCCGAAGGGAAAAGTAATTCCGTCAACACTCTAGACGGCTGTATTGTTCCTTCAACTTTAGGCAGTTACCCCTGAGCTGCGTGTTGTGGCTACGTTTCAGCAAATGGCTGCATACGTGATTGGGGTCACTCAATATTTGATAGGCTAATATGAGATCACCGCGAAGTCTTCGATAGCGCCCGCTGAGAATTCCCAACAACTTCAGCCTTCGGTGATAAGAGTGGTAGCGCAGACCCTGCACATTCTTTGTTGCTCTCCGTTGCGATGCCTCTATCGCTTCTAGGTCACGCTTCAACCAAGGTTGCCAAGCTTGGATAGCGTATTCAACATGTGGGCGCACGTAGGAATTGTGCATCATTGGGAAGATTGATGGGTCAAATCTCCCGAATGCACTTCGCAGCATGCCGACATGCTGGTTGCCTCTTTTCGCAGCTACCTCAGCCTGTTTTGAACAGTTGAGGTCGCTCTGTACGATCACACCCAGGTCACATTCCTGGGAGCTATTCTGCAGTCCGTTGGTCCCAAGTGAATAGGTGTAGTTATGACTATGGCGTAATTGTACGACGCGACATTTGTCTAGGTTGAACGGTAGGGCGTTTTGAAGTGACCAGTTCGACACTGTGTTAAGATCGCACTGGAGCCGTTCATGGTCTTCCGGCCCTCTGATCCTTCGCCATATCTTGATATCATCAGCGAAAAATAAGAAATCGGAAGTAATTGATCTCGCCAAGTCGTTAATGAACACCAAGAATAGACGAGGTCCAAGAACCGAGCCTTGTGGTACTCCACACGCCACATCGATTGCATCAGACAAAGTTTCTCGGACTCTCACCACTAGCCATCGTTCTTGTAGAAAATTGTCAATCCAACTCAGGATTGGGTCGCCAATGCCGTAATTACGAAGCTTGTAAAGGAGAATGCGATGGTTTAAGCGATCAAATGCTTTTGTAAATCCGGGTAGATGACGTCGACCCCTACTCCATCATCAACAGCTTCAGTCCAACTATTACGTGCAATTAATAGGTTAGTATTACACGAATGCTTTTGACGAAAGCCATGTTGCTCTGGGGTTATTAAATTGTGGCTTTCCAGGTATTCCATCAGCGCATCTGCGATGATTGATTCCATCACTTTGGATAGTACTGGAAGTAGTGTTATTGGACGGTAGTTGGCAGGATCAGTGCGGCGTTGTGGCTGCTCCATGCACTAAGGTCGTGTATCAGCCATGGATGCCAGGCTTGAATTACATATTCGACATGGGGGCGAATATACGCATTGAGCATTTGTCGAAATATGGAGCTGTTTATTTGTCCAAACGTTTTGGTTATCAAAGAGGTGATAGCGTAACCATTTAGTGGATACTTTTCCAACCATCTAATCAGAGCAGTCACAATCCAGGGTTGAAACAGAAATCCGCATGTAACTCCGAATAATACTAACAGCAGTCGATGGTTATGGGATGCCAAGCTCATTGCTTAAGCAGTCTTCTGCCACTACATACAAGTAGCAAATTCATCAAAATGAAGTCGCAAGGAATCCGTTGGTAGCCAGCAGTGTTCTGATTGGTGCGTTACACACCAGCAAGGTTGGGTTATTGCCAATGTCAGCTGCTATTTTCACCCAGACTGGTGGGTGTTGACGATCAACAATCAATTTCTTCGTTATTTACGTTCACGCTACCGAGGAATATGCACAATATGACAGTGTCGTCCCACAACATTCAACTTTTAACAACCCATTTAATATTTTAATGCATCAGTTGTAATCGATACGACAAAGTTCTTACCTCCAACTTTTATCATTAAACTAGTGTTCGGGTGTCCGGATTGTTTCCATAACATCGAATGCAATTCATTACGGGTGAGTACCTTCCATGTATCGGTTGTATTTCTTGAAAAATGGAGAATAATCTGGCCTTCAATTGCCCTTGTTGCATACCATTGACAGCCACGCTCCCGGAGTTTCATAGTTAACAGGTCCACATTGTTCGCGGCCAGCGCCTTTAACACCTGTTGGGGAAAGTAGGGCAATATCAGTAAGCTGAGAGCAAAGCATTTCGTTAATTAACTTAGCTTAAAAGGACGATACATTGGTTTTGCCGCAGCTTTGTCAGTAACCGCGTAAAATGGCTGTTCACTCTTGAACCTGACTGTCATCAAAATATAATGTAACGAGCAGTCAAGTTAAAGGGCTTCCTGCTGCTACTGAGCTACCACCGGCAGATGAACTCCCGGAGGATATACGTAAGCCAGATTTGTTTTTCGGCATTCAACGATGGCAATCCATGATTTCAGATGGTTATGTTCATGTAACGTGGTAAGGAGGTGAAGCATGGTTTGCACTCCGGAACTGACGCCCAAACGATCCTAAACGTAACCGCTATTCCTGCATTGCAGATTGAGCATCAGTCCTGCTTGGTGTCGAGTTCCATTTCGCAATGATTTTCATCCATTCTACTAGCATGAGACTGCTTCATTTACAAAGGTCTCCTGTACAGAGCCGCCTACATTCTATCCGAGGTGTTGGGACTATTTCCTCGAGCTCAAGTTACCATAATGGAGAGAAGAAGAGAATCGTTTGGTGCTTCCATCCTGGTTGAATTCTGAGCGCAGTTGGAATTTAGTGGTTAAGAAGCGGCAAGTAAGCCCAGGCGGTTAAAGTGGCAGCCGTCCTATCTACATCTAAGAGTATTAAATTGGTAAGCAGGACGTTGTAACTAGAAATACATCCGTTGAAAAATAACCCCAAGAGATTAGAATGAAATAAAACATTTTCCTTACAACTTGGACGTTTTGCAAACCACACTATCGATTCAGGGCTATCAAGCAATACAGAGAGGAAAGATTTGTACACCTTGGCTCCTACCAAATTCAGCTCCACTCAGTACACGTCACGCATGTCATGCTGGTGTACGATGACATAGTCAAAGGGGTGAGCGTGACAACTACGCTGGTGTGTCCAATGAACCAGTGTAAGCCATGTGTTATTGATCGTCAGGCCGTGAATAGCACATAGTGAGAGCAGCCAGTCATCGTTCCCTTTGGCTGAGCCAATACCATCCGGACCAATTACCTCTGTCTACGCTGTGACGTCACACCGAACGTGTACGTTGAAACCGCCTTGAAGGAATAGCTAGTCGCACCTCGGCACGGACAGTATCATGGAGGGCAACTGTGTGTGGTACTGATCCCACGTGTCGTCAGGACAACGCACGGTGGGACCATGCGTGTTAATAAAAGATGCTAATTTATCACTCCCAAGTCATAGGCAAAGAGTCATCCATCTTGAAATGATGCCAGTCGGCCAGAAAACCAAATAACCATTTAGCCGGTCTGATATTGCAAATCCGACCCCACATACTGGTGGAGTTGTGATGACGTTTCCCACCAACTATAACGTATACCCAGTATCAGCCTCATGCAACTTACTTTGGTTTAACAACCCAGTCTTATTGTGTGCGGCAATATCAATGCCATATCGTGCGAGTTCCATCACGAGCAGTGCAGTGCGCCGTTCAGGGGTACATTCGTACTGGATCAAGGAGTATGTGCACGTTCCAGCATCTGAATTTCAATGATTTCCACTAAACACAACTGCTTCGAGCAAGCGCTAGCGGAATAATTTGGGGCGTGGTTGTGGGCTAGGAAAGGTAGAATGTGTCAGGTGACTTGGTGACTGGTAGAGGAGAATGTGGAGTATAAGTGGCGGAATAAAGAATGAACTGGCCAGTAATAACATGTTCTCGCTTCTCTACCCTGATGTATGCGTCGGAAAGGAGACTCCTATCCCCGCTGCGCGATGGTAGATATAGCATGCAAGTAGTGTTTGGTGTCTGGACGGATATATTACTAAGGGGTCCACCACAGAATGAGGAACGACAACCATTTGCAACCAAAGCATTCGGCAAAATATACTCCTGAAAGTAAGTGGGAAGTGCGCCAAGGCACTCACGCGGATGCGTGTGTCTTCGCTCATAGCCGGAGGAAGTGCCTAAACATAGACCCATCCATCGATCACTACGAAGATGCATCTAAGATATGAAACGGTGGCATTAGATATAGCAGTAGGAGACAAATGCTTTAAACGTATCTGACCAAAACAACACACAGTAAGGGATAGACTCTTCCTACTGAATGAATTCGACGAGGATACTCATACAGTTTTTGCACGGCCACCTTAATGCAGGGACCCGGCACGGGGGTAAACAAGTATTACATTACCATGTCATGAAAATGTGAGTTTAGCACGAGTTAATGTTACTTTCAGGTGTTAAAACTCTAAGGCATAGTTGATCGGTGCGTATTTTGTAGGCTGATCAACAGGACGCTTGCGCAGGTGCAGGAGCAGAGACTATTGCAGGCGGAGGAGAAGTGCGATGGGTTCGTTCCCATTCGATTTAATAATCCAGGCTAATTGAGTGGCAGATGTGGTACATTTGCCTGCATGATGAGTATTGTTGCATTTCAGGAGTTAGATGTTGCTTGAGCTCCTCGGTGTGGCTGCGCCTGATGTGAATGTTAACAAGGTGTCCACCTGTCTATTACCCACCACCTTGTCCATACTGGCTCTAGGAGACAGTTGGTCGTTGCTGGAGGGAACGGACTGCACTGTCCTCGTGACGGTGCTAGGTTCAAAGAGTGGTTCCATCCTATGGGGAATTGGCTACGGCCCAGCCACCGCGTTGTGTTCATCTGGTACGCATGACTACCCAATTAGGAAGGAATGCTTCTGTTCTGTATGTAAAAGGAGTGTGGGCCGGCTTCGTTGAAGAAATGTGGCTCCCAGCCACATGCCTCCACGTCTTATTCCTTCGGGTCTACCTCAGATATAGGGGCGGGGGGGAGTGGAACAGTGGGTGATGCAATGCAAGCCAAAGATGATCCCCATGTAGACGAAGGCTTCCTGTGACTGTAGCCGTGGACTCAACAGTGACAGGCAAATTCGGACGCTGATGTCGCCAATCCGTATATATATATATATATATATATATATATATATATATATATATATATATATATATATATATATCTGGATGTCAGCATCCAGTTTCGGATTTGCCTGTCACTGTGGCCAGCCACAGGACGCCTTTGCCTACAGAGAGACCATGGGTGGCTTGCGCTACGCCATCCACAACTCCATCCACACACCCCAGATACAGCGTAAACCCGAAGAAATAAGACCGGGTGGCATGTGGATGGGAGCCACGTTTCATCCACGGAGCCGGCCCACACTCCTTCACAGGCAAACACAAGCACGCTGTATTTGGGGGATCAAGCGCACACAAAGCGGTGACTAGACCGTAGTCCGCTCCACACTGAGTGCATGAAACCACTCTTTGATCCTAGCACGACCACAAGGACCCTGCACCCCGTGCCCTCCAGCAACGACCAACTGTCTCCTGGAGCCAGTATGGACGAGGTAGTGGGTAATAGACAGGTAGGCACTTTGTCAACATGCACATCAAGCGCAGCCACATCGGGAATATGAAGCAACAGCCATTCACTTGAAACGACGAGACGAAATAAAAGGAATCCCGTAATGCATACAATTACGATGGCATAACTCTTCGCTAAATTATCACATAAATTAATTTGGATAGCAACGAATCCGCGATAAGTAAGAAATGTCCAAAATTTAATCAAGAATGCTACAAACGCAACAAAGTTACCGAAGATAAGCGCAATTAGCGTAAGCAGCGTGACCAGTTAATAGAAAAATATTCAGATAGGCAGAACAAACCAAATAAACTGGAATGAAATTTATCCAGTCTAAAACGGTCTAGTTTTAGTGTAAGCTGGCTTAGCCCAACTGCGGCGAAGAAGCATCAAGTATACAACAACAGACTCAGCATGGAGCATATATATATATATATATATATATATATATATATATATATATATATATGAGTTAGCCATCGCATACACTATGGTGGTTTACCGCAATACCGCAAAATCGATTTACACTGAAACTGAGTGTGAAACCAGGAAAATTATAAAAATACTTTACTCGTGTGCAGCACACTTTAGTTGTAAGTTAAAGTGTTCATCCCAGTAGTTCACAAGCTACCTAGCACAACCTTGTCTCGAAAAGCGCCAAACGCGTTTGGCCTATTGGGGCTCGTCAGTTGTGTGCATTCCCTCGGTACCCTACTGTGGATCGAACCCATGAGCGCCAGAATGCAGACGCCAACTACACATCAGCTTAAGACACTAAGCCATGAAGGATGTTGGGTAGGATACATAATTTGCAAGCGAACTGAGAGATAGCATGACTTATTTTCCACTGTCACTGAGAGTGGCTATCTGGCGGACTGATGACGTCCTCTCGATAGACGCTAAATCCATAGCATTTACATCTGGGAGAGGCTATTTAGTTTATTTTATTAGTGAGTAGCAGGATGTTATTTGCAATTTTATGGCATTCATCCCAGTAGTTCACAAGCTACACAACACAGCCTTGTCCGGAAAAGCAGCAGACGCGTGTCGCTACAACAGTACCAATAGAGCGAAGCGCCTCTGCTGCTATTCCGGACTAAACTGTGCTATGTCCCTTGTAAACTACTGGGGTGAATGCCTTAAAATTCCCATTAAAATCCTGCTACTCATTAATAAAGTAAAATAAATAGCCTCTCCTAGTTTCAAATGCTATGCATACAGCGTCTAGCGAGTGGAAGTCATCATCTCGTAGGCTAGACACTGTCAGTGACAGTGGAGGATAGGTGGTGCTATATCCCAGTTAGCTCGCAAATTATGTAGTCCAGCCAACGTCCCCCATGGTTCAGTGGCCTAAGCTGCTGGCGGGTTGGCATCTGCCTCTAACGGTCATGGGTTCGATCCCCATTAAGCGACCGAGGGCATGCGCAAAATTGACCAGCACCAATAGGGCGAAACGCGACTGGTTTCTCTTGGACTAGGCTGTGCTATGTAGCTTGTGAAGTGCTGGGATGATTGCCTTAAAAGTACAACTAAAATCCTGCTACTCACTAGTAGGATAAAATAAATAGCCTCTC